TTTACACGTTTTTTGTGGACTATTATGGACCTTTCTGACTCGGGCACAATAGAGCTCCATTATTTGAATGTCAGCAGACAGCAAGAAGCCTCCCAGATCTCCAGATGCATTTGAGATATCAAAAAAGTACTCCAGAGTGTTGTTCAGCATGGGGGGGAGTAGAAAATGAAGGCTAATCATGTTTTGGGTGTACTATTCCTTTAAAGAACCTTTAAGCCAATCAGGTTCTGAGTCTTTCTGCATCAAAGCAAAAGTGGCATAAAACTTGAACTTAGTGGGTCTGGTGCAAAATGTTTCCATGTTTTTCATGAAAACAAAATAAAAATAAATCCAAACATTTAAATCACAATTAGGTAAAATCAAGAATGATCCTGGTCTGAGATAACAAATGATGAACATCACCGACGATGATCATTTATTTTAGTGTCTCTATTACTTATCAATCTAATTTATCAATCAGAGTCTCTCTCTTTGGCTTTAATCTTGAAATTATTATTTTAAAGAACAATAATCTGTATAATAGTTTTGGGAAAGTTTAGTTTTACTTTTGCAGGTATAACCGGTGACATCACTTCCTGACGTTTTCCGGGTTTTGGTGGGCGAGCAGTGTTGCGCGTGAAAAACAAAACAGAAATATATGGGATTTTGAAAAGGTGGATTTGGGCATAAATGTGGTGTGTAAATGGGTCGGTTGGAAATGGAGAAAGAAAATGAGAAAGACGTGGATTTAGAAGGGTGGACGCCAGTAGAGAGAAGAAGAAATAAAACAGATGAAGGAAAGGGAAGTGAAGGAGAACTGGAAGGAGGTAGTTCAGAAGAAGAAAGTTAGGAGGGAGAAATTCAAAGTAATATTAAAACTTAAGAACGAGGAAGAACCAGATAACATCAGCCCCAATGCAGTGCCAAGAGAAATAAAATAGAAAATTGAAGATGTTGAAATGGTAAATATTCTGAGATGGAAATCCATTGATAGTCTGTAAAAATGAAGAACAAAAAAATAAAGCTTTAAATGGGGATAATATCTGCAAAAAAAAATGTGCAGGAGAAAAAAATTATGGGAAAAAATAAATAAATTAGAGGAGTGATAAAATGAGAAGTATTGTTGGTGGAAAAGTGAATAACGTGAAGAGATTGTCAAAAACAATAAATGCAAAAAAAGAAGGAAGCTTATCAATCCTCATTGAATTTAAGGAAAATGAGTTGCCACCAAATATCAAAATAGGTTACCTCAGTATTCAGGTCAGACCTTATATCCCACCAGCACTTTGTTGTTTCAAAGGTCTGGACCCATAGCAGCAGTTTGGAAAGGGAAGCAAAGATGTGCAAAAGATCACAAGTTTAAAGAATGGAAAGAAGTAGTAGAAAAATGTTGCAAGTGTGGAGGGAAACATAGAGTTACTAATGGAGGACGTGAAGTAAGGAAATCACACCGACTAAAATGTATAAAAACATAAGCTATGCAGAAGCAGTTAAATATATGAAGGAACAGAAAAGAGAGAGAAAAATCATTGAGTCAAACTCCAAAGCAAGACAAAGTACAGTCATGATGAAACATCACAATATCAGTAGAAAAACTAATATTATTCATGGCATATGTCATCAACTGTACTGACCAAGCCAAGCATAAAACTGAGAAGATTAAAATAATAGTGAGAGAGTTTCAGGGGTGTGAAGAGGGATCATCTCTTCTATTATATATTAATTTATCCTATTTACTCACTATAAAAGTTTTCCCTCAGTCTGTTTCACCTTCAAGGCCACACCATTCTCTGCAGGATGGTGTTTGTAGACCAGACATAACTTCTTCCCATAACAGATCAGATTAATTTTCAAGGTTTATTCATAACATTTTACTGTTTAACCAAAGTGTCTGTAATTTGTTTTGACTTTGACTATTTTCCATTGTTGTAAGTAAGGAGGAACGAACGCTGCTCATGCAGAACAGGGCAGAATGCTGCGCCATTAGGGCTGTATGATGAACTGTTCTCTCTTTGCAAAGATATGAATAAATGTGCCGACTGAGTGAAATCCACCGATCTCCGTTTATTTAACTAGGATGAATAGTTGAATACTTTTTTCCCGCGACATGGACAGGAAGGAGGTGGAGGAGGATGTGCAATATTTTAAAATAAAGGTTACAATATCAACTAGTAGGGAAAAGATATTTTGAATTCAACAACACTTTTACAACAAAAGTGTTTTTAGCTTCTATAAAACATGAGAAAATATCATAAAGCATGAAAACACTCCATATGCTGCAACCTCAGTTCAATACAAAATCAGTTTAAACCTTCTTCCTGAACTCTGTTGGACTCTGGAACCCTAAACAAACCAGTCCATGTTCTTATCGGTATCCCTGACCGGCTTCCAACTCCTGGACCTCTGAGTATCCCTGTTGTGGTCTGTTTCCCTGCTTGCCCTCCGGGAGTACAGCATCGGGGTAAGTCTGGGTGGCGCCCGTCATATCTAGTTGGCAGCCCTCTGGCTGGATCCTACTTTGTTCTTTGGAGATGGACTGAACTCTTAAACCAGTTAAGTGACTCATATGAAAATTCATCCTCACATAATGGTCACTAACCTGTGTTTCTCTTAAACCAGAGTTTCCAGTAATGGGCGTTGCCCAACCACAGCTCGATGCAGACCTGCAGCTGCCATGTTAAGCAGGGGGAACGCTGTCTGATGGGGTCGATAGGCCCATTAGATTACATTCCCCCTGCAGGTTCTTGTCTTTGTCGTCCGCTCTATTCTGCTGGTTTTTGAAACACACGGCAAAAGGTGGAGGCCGGGTGGTGAGGGTTACGGGGGCGAGAAACACAAAAGTAACGCAATAGTTACTTTTATTGTGTGGTAACTCAGTTATCAACTCAGTTACTTTTTGGGAGAAGTAACTAGTAACTAGTAATATAACTAATTGCTTTTTCAAAGTAACGTGCCCAACACTGCTGGTACCACACAAGAGGTCTTCCACAGTTATTTACTAGTGGTTCCTAGAATTTCTAAAAGTAGAATCGGAGGCAGATCTTTTAGTTCTCAGGCTCCTCTCCTGTGGAACCAACTACCAGTTTTAGTCCGTGAGGCAGACACCCTGTCTACTTTTAAGGCTAGGCTTAAAA